AAATTTCTAACTGATAGGTCTCTCTTTAATCATCTAGGTCACTATCATCCAGGAGATTCTGTCTGGTATCAACATCAGGAAAGGGGAGTCTGAGTGCCAGTATTATATAGACAAACTGGAGTATCTGGATGAAAAGCAGCGGGACCCTCTTATAGACAGCTGTAAGATACTTCTGTGCCATGGAGAGCTGCGGAACAAGAGTGGCTCGGTAAGAGAATTAGAATTACCCTTTATTGTTACCTTCTACACACACATGTTTTTAGTCTTCTATTAAAACAAATGTCTGTGTTCCTTCACAGAGGCTGCACGTGTTTCTGTTCTCTGAGCTCCTGGTTCTGACCCGACCGGTCACTCGCAACGAGAGGAGCTGCTTCCAGGTGTACCGACAGCCCATCCCAGTTCGAGACATGTCTCTGGAGGACCTTCAGGATGGAGAGATCCGTATGGGAGGGTCCTTCAGAGGGGCTTTCACCAATGGAGAGAAAGGTAGGTTGAGTTGAGTACCACTACACCTGCTGGTGTATCTTCTTCAGTGACTAATTTTCCCTGAGGCATATTTTTTCTTTCAGTCTTTTCTCTAATTATTCAACACTAAAGATGCCAAACATTGGCTGATATCGACTTCCTGGATTTCTTTCACAAAAGAAAATCAATTTTGTCGGTTTTGACTGATGATCAGACAATTTAAAGACGATACATCAGACTAGGGGATTTTCTTTTGTCTGACCTATATAACAATTGATTAAATAGTTAACAGAATAATCCTTAATGAAAATAACTTTTAAAGTATGTTCTGAATTATCTACAAACTAGATTTTCTTTGTATGTCAACATTTTCACCACACGTCTTTTACTTTTTCTTTACTCGCCCTGAGCCATTAGAGGAGAAGTACTGCAGGAATTATTATTTAAGAATGGACCTAAACTTTTACTGTTAAACTTTTACTGTTGTACATTAGATTATTTGACGTATTGAACATTTTACGATAACATTACATGATTTGTTTCCAAATGTTTGACTGACATTGTGAATTTTACTAAAGTTAAGACTTGATTCACAATACAGTGTCAATGTAAGTTCACTCCAGACATCAGAATCACAAAGATTTTGATGCCATTTAAAGTGATTTACAGTTCATAAACAAAGAGGAAAAAAAGGCTCTTCTCCATTTGTGCTCTGTATTTTGTGTATATTAAATGAACTTTTACAACAGCGTGGTGTCACATTTGCCCTTTTAACTTAGCAATCGCACAATTTGTTTTATTTTTTTATAGCAGCACAATGTTAACGTTATAAGAGATTTTTCTGCAAACTATTTTCTGCATTACTTATTCAGAATGATGTTTCAGAAAGATGTCCAATCCTAAAATTACTAGTCAACAACTCTAAGAGATTCAGTTTAATATGAAAACCAAGAAGTAGTTGTTCATCACACATGAGACCCTTTTCACACATTTGATCCATTGTTACATCTGTGCATTATTTCAGGTAGTGGGGTTGGGTAGTGGTTGGGTTCCTTAGCTGGGCTTCCTGGTTCAAATTCCTGTTTCGGGGGAACACCAATCTTTGGAGGAAGTGATATAACCTTAGATTTGTATCTCCTCTTTTTTGCTGCTATAGATAATCCTGTTAACTGTGTTTATTTTCTTTCTAGCCAAGAACATGTTTCGTGTCTGCTCTCTGGATCCCTCCCATGGTCAGTCTCACACCCTGCATGCTAACGATGTCTACCACAAGCAGCAATGGCTCAACTCCCTACGCACTGCCATGGCCCAAATACAGCGAGCTCCAACCACAGATCAACAGGGAGAAAATGTCCAAGCCAAGCGTCGCTCTTCTATTATCTCTGCCCCCATCTGTGACGGGGAGACAGATGAGAACTGTCCGCCTGTCTCAGGCCCTAAACTCAGGCGGCAGGCACTCTCCAAAACCAGACTGGACAAGAAGTTTCAGGGCTCGCTAAAGAGGAAGGAGACTGGTGTGTAGACATTTAACCCGAAACAAGGCGTTATTCTTAGACATGTGTCCTAGTTGTTCCTGCTACATTTTCATGCAACTAACCACTATTTGTATGCTTTTACTTTGTCCTTTTAGCTGCACTGACAAACATTATCAATCATTTCCGTCCAATATCCATCGAATTTGAGTCTTTAAAAAGTGTAATTAGTTTACAAAACAAATGACAGTGTGGCTGAAATGTATGTTTACACCCGATAACTTTGTGTGGAAGTAGGGATTTATGTGTCTGCCTAGGTTTCAAATAAACTTTGTACCGCTTGTTTTTCCAATGTCATGACTTTTAAACTTTCAGTGTTTTTATCTAAATGTCAGGACATCTGTGTTATAGGCAGAATGTGTGCAGTTGTAAGTGTTAACTGTGTCAATATAAGGGATCAAGAAGTTGTGATAACCTCAGGTGTCAGTGTCAATAGTGGAAGATTTATCAGACAACGTTTGATACGATGTAAAAGAACACCGCTAAGAACACTGACCATGGATACTCTAAAGTGGAAAACAATTCTCTGGGGGGAAAAATATATAATGAATCTGTGTATTGAGTAAGAGTTGTCCATTGGGGAACAAATAAAACCCTAAGTTTGTACAATTGTGTGAGTCCTGACTGACTAACTGATTGTATGTTATGCAACACTACCATCAGCTCAGTTGTACTTTAACCCATCAGTCACTTCCTTTTACTGTTGACAGATCTGCCCAGCAGTTCATTGCAACACTTATCAGGCAAACAAAAGCAAAGGAAAACTCTGCTTCTTTCAATTTATAACTCATTCATTTAGTTTTATGACATTATTATCCTCAAACTAGCACAACTGAAGACAGTAAACTTTTTCAAGGTTGTGATTTTGAAACAATCACTTCACTAGTTAAGATTTTTGCTACATCAGAAGCAGTCTATACTTTAACCTCCCACCTCTGGTTACCTTTGTAAAATACTGATGACCTTTGACATTCAATACATTGAATACAGAAGGAGGGTCAACAGAATGATTTGCATTAACATTGCTTCATCTTTATTTGTGCTTAGCTAGATTTAAATGAGGAAAATACACCCAACATATCATGACTTGTGTTTCTTTAGTGTTTTTACTCTGATGATTATCAGTGGTTGGTGTGTGAAAGTGTCATGCTGGAACCGCAGATAAGTAAAGAAGTGATACTTTATCAGGCTGGAATCCTTACACGAGTTCAGAGTTTTTGAAAAATGAAACTGAACAAAGAGGAAGTAACTTTTGAATTTAGCCCTGCAGCTGAATAGACTTCCTTGGGGTGTGAACATCTCAGAGAACATGGCGGGTGGCTCCCTGTGACAGTTTGACTCATCCACGTCATCAGACAGTAACATATCGGGTGCGGGTTCTTGAAACAAGATCACGAACACGTAGCTCCAACAGACAAGGTTTTTTGTTTTTTTTTACGAGACCTACCAAAGCCAAGCTAGACACCGTGCGAATATAGTTGTGGACTTCAAGGGGCCTCTCTGTCAGTGTCAGTAGTTTAACCTGCGGTATTTATAGCTCTCTGTGGGCAAACCGCACTAGAAGGAGTAGCTTCTCAACTTTGCTGACACCATCTTCCTTAAATAGCAGCTGAAGTCAGGCACTGTCGAATGTGTTGGTAACAGCTGCAAATTTCTGTTGAGCATCTAATCTTTCATTTCTTTTCCACCACACCTTTACCCTTTCTCTTTTTCGTTGAAGGTTAGCTCGTTGCCAACCTCTTCTAGAGGTGATCAGTGGAGGCAGCTTTATCTCTGAAAACACATTTAGGGCAAACCATTTCTGGATTATTTCTGTCCGCTTATTACTAAATAATTGTCCACAACATCAATTTGTTGAAGCTCCTTACTACTTTTTGAATCACCTCAGTTTGATGCAATTCCTGCCATAATGTCTGCTGTCTGGAACAAACTGTGTCATGGTTTTGTTTGATGATTGGTGGATATCGTAATATTTACAGTCTATGGTGGATACCAATGAACTTTGTAGGCCAACAACTAAACCTTTCATATGCATATTGTACATTCAAAACCATGCCCAAAGCGACCACATTCATTCCCCACAGTAAATACTGTGAAGGTTTTATATCAGTAATAACCACTGACTAGACAATCTAGTAAGAAATGGTGTAAACTGTGGCAAGCAGATTTAATATAGACTGGATTTACATATTCAATATCTCTAACCCAGTTCTTCCTCGTCAAAATGAGCATTTCAGATATCAACAACGTTATTCCAACAAGGGGAAATGCTTCAATGTTTTGTCCTTCATGTAATTTTTGGATATATTTAGAATTGAATTAAAGTTATGATAAAAACATTGACTAAACAAGGCTTGTTTAGGAAGCCACGGGTCGGATTCGAGCCTGGGCCGCCCGTTTGGAGGACTTTAGCCTCTGTACATGGGACCTGCGCATTAACCACTACACTACTGGCGCCCCGTTCCTTTGAATCTTTTCTTATTCTCTGACGTTGGGCTACAAACCTGAACGGCTGAATATGTAAATGTATGGCTGATTCATTTAAAATGTGAGGTATAAGCAAAATGGAATTAAAGTTTGGTATTATAAAAGCAGAAACTCAGTTCTTGTCCTTTTTTTATGTTGGAATAAAGGTATGATTGTTAGAAAACCTCAAAATTGTGTTTTGATGTTTCACTGATTTACACAGATGACGTGGGCCTGCTTAAAAATAGTCTATTCAAATATCTGACCAATCACTGTTCTTGTTCCATAAAGTAAAAAAGAGGTTTCAGACATTTTACATCTGATACCAGTCAAACCTGCTTTGTTTGATGCAGAGCCTCGTGTTCAGACATGTTCTTTCTTTGTTGAAAGTTGGACAAAAAGATTGCTTTTGTTATCTCTGCTTGGCTGTGGCTCTTTTGTTCTATCAGACTGCGGCTGCAGACTGTCATGAACAAATCCTCAAATATTTTGGGGAAAAAATGACTTTTTCATGAAGTTCAGGTACAACAGAAGACAAATCTTTTTAAACAGTCCCGTTTATTTACACTAATGTCATAGAGGTAGAACCATCTGTATTATTTACAAATGTACATCAATAGTTACAGAAAATATACAAATACGAAGTCCTTGTAATCAGACTACTTTGTGGTCCCTTTGGGTTCAACAAACTGTTACAAACATTGTACATTCACACGTATTCATTATGAGCAAGCATGCTTCTAGATGTTAATACTGACTTAAAACTCCAGATTGATTCAAAGTGATCTGTAGTGTAGCTCATGCCTCCAGAAAATCAACAGTTAAAGGCTCTGATACAGCTGGCAGTTATACGAGTACATTCAGCTCCATGTAGTATTTCTGCATCCGTTGGATAAAGCTGATAGTTCCCAGCTGATATTCCCACTTGCAATTTGAATGTCACTACATCTATGCAGGAAAACATGGATTCCAGCAGCAAGGTACTGTTTGCAGGACCTCATTCCAACACAACAGCAAACAATCTGACAGAGCAGTACGTTCTAAAATAAACAGGAGGAGTAAGTTAGTACAGCTTGCTCCCAAAGACTATTTATCAAAGACAAGCTGAATAAAATGGCAACTTCAAAGTCCAGACATCACTCTTGGAAAGTTAATTCTGATCTGTTCATGGTGTGACGCTTTAGTCCGATGATGCAGGTGCGTTTATATTTGCGCTCATTGGCCAAATGGATCTCGCTGAAATTTTGTGACTTGGAATTTAAAACTTGAATTAAATTCCTTTACACTTTTCCTCTCCAAGGTTGTTTTTTTGAGTTCCGAGTAAAATGGTTTGCAGCAAAACGAAGAAGATAAAAGCGTGATTTTCCCGTGTGTAGCAGAGTTTAAGTAAATGAAGAGACTGTGGACAAAATTATAGGTAAATATTGGACTAAACTTTCTTATAGTCATTCATTTCCTTGTGTCCATAATCAGAACTCACTAGGAATTCTTGTGTTACTCTGTGTCTGCTGAACCTGTGTGTAGGCAGGCGTTTACTTAAAGATTACCCCCAACCTGTCTGAACATTCATGATCATTTGATCAGTGTATACACGGCTCACTGCTGACTGCTGTTAATTTATAGTCCAATGGTAATTCTCCTTGTTAACGCTCTGTTGTTTGTTCTGCATGTGAAACTTTTCATGCTGCTGATTTTGTTTTTTCATAGTGAAAATGTTCCTGGTAAAACAAAGGTTAAATAGAACAATAAAATAAAAGCAGATGTTTTCATATGCTGGTTATCTTGCGGTTCCTAAACAGATTGTGCTCTTGCGATGGATAACTGTGTTATCATTTCAATTTTGACATTTTCTCTTTACGCTACTGGTTTGGTGGTGCCATCTGTGCAGCACGTCTACCAAATTGGAAATCTCGTTGTGACTTAGCAGAAAAGGGATCCAGCAGAGAGCCAGAAGACACTCTTTTTTTTTTTAAATGTGCAAAGTGCTGCATCGTAAATTCCTGAAATTAAATGTCAATTACTGGAGGTGGTATGTAAGAAAGAAAACGTATGATGCTGTTGGGCAGGTCCAGCTTGGAAACGACTTGCTGAGCTCTTGTTCCGAGGGACTCTCTCAAAGCCAGTCTGCTGATCTGCTGCAGACTGAGGGGCGTATCTGAGAAATACAAAACAGAAACGACTGTTTATCGGTGCTCTTAGATGATCTTTCACACAGGTGAATTAAATGCTGCACGCTCTAAATAAACAAACTTACTCTCATAGAACTCCAGGCAAAGGTGAGAGGGAGACCCCAGGCCGGTGTAGTGGATTGGTTTTTTGTCCAGGTTATCCCTGGCGTATAAATTCCCCCCAAACTCCACAAGAAGATCAATCAAGTCCACATTCTTCATTTTAGCTGCATGATGAAGGGCCGTCTCATGGAACTTGGCAGCATTCACATTTGCCCCTTAGACAAAGAAAAACAAAACAAAATCGTTAGCAGTTATCTCTAAAAAAAATGATTTATATCTTCCTCATAGATGAACAAGTCAATAACCTGTGTGGCATTAATCCTAAACCAAATGTGTAACCAATTGTAACTCTAACTAAATAAATCTCACCTTAGAATAAAATCAATAAATCTTTAGTCACTGCAGAGTTGTTTTTCTGTTATTCAGTAAAACAATCATCTTAACTTGAGGTCCAAAGAAAGAAAGAAAGTAAAAGCTGCATCTTACTTGAAGTAAATAATATAAATCCAACAATAGTCAGAACTTTGGAGTCACATTAAACTGGTTAATTAACAACGTAGAAGGTCTGACACAAACATATTGTGGCAATTCATGTAAGCCACTGCTTACATCAGAAGGCACAAAAGGAAATCACCTGAATTGAGGAGAACTTTGGCGCAGTCATAATGTTGCCTGGCACATGCTACATGGAGCGGTGTGCCGTAGTGACAGTCATGAGCCTCCATGAAAGCTCCTTGATCAATCATGAGCTGAACACATTCTGAATTACCTATTGGGAGAAAAAAAAAAAAAGGAGAAACATGTATGTCTCTTCAGAACTCTACAATTCTACAATTCACTTAGTGATGTACATCAGAGACTAAGTACAACACTAATCCATCATACACCACCACTGAAGCAATGCAGGGTTAAGTGTCTTGCCCAAGGACACATTAGACATGTTGCCCAGAAGGGGATTGAACCCTTGACCTTTTGTTTGAAAGGCATTGACGCTACCAACTGAGCCACAGCTGCCCCTAAGTAAGTTAAAGTTGAAATTAAATGGCCTTATTAGAGCATCAAGCGCCTATATGTTGGTATATTTTCTAGTGTAAGACCATATGTGGATGGGGCATGAAATTTTGGAATAATATGTTTTGCTGAAAAGTGGGGGTGTCCAAAACCACAGGTGAGATACATTGATGTGTTAGTAAGTTAAAAGAGAGACACAGCCCCTTGTGTGCTCCTTGTTGATTCAGAAGCATATCATGTTTTATAATCTAAAGCTGTCACGGATCCCTCGTTCCTTACAGTTAAATACACTCGGGCAAGTGACAACCAGTATTCCTTGGGAAACAAAAAAATTGAGGTTGGAAACAAATGTAAACACAAAATGTTCCAATGCTGTTACTTGTTAGCCAACTGAAGCTATGTTCTGCTTGTCTCTTTGAGCTTTGTGAAACCAAAAGTGAATGACTTCAATCAAATTTAATGAGACTGGGTGTGGGGATATTACTGGTTAAAAGAAATCTAGGAGCTGTTGTAGACATATAGCAAGAGATCTTGATGTATTTTCATGAAAGACCCAAATTAAATGATTGATTTTCTTTATTTTTTTGACATGTATTAGTAAATAAGTGCACAAAATGACCAAGGAATAATAGTATCAAAGGGACACAAATAAATATATATTCATTAACATCCTCCTGCAGCTCAGTTAATTTTTAAAGCATGGCCTGGAAACAAATTTCAAAAAAATTTGCAGAGCATCACCAAAAGCTGTTGTTCAGTTTGAAAAGACTTTGGCTGCAGTTTCCCTTTTGAGCTTTCTCCAAACTAAACCTATCTGGTCTCAGAACAATACTGCAATCGACTGATTGTGTTCCCCTGCCTTAGTAAGCAAAGCCAGAACCATTTTGTCACAATGTCTCAAAGGTATTTTATTGTGAAACTTGAGAAGTTTTCCACTAATAACCAAGCGCTCTCGTAACACATTGAGCTTCTGCTGGTTAATGATTCCCAATGAGTTACAAAATAAGTCAAATTAGCCATGGGCAAAATGTTCTCTGTGCTATTTAGGAAGAAAACTGAGGAACTAGGTGATATGAAGGCCCCATCAGCTATGAACAAAAACACAATGTGGAATCAGGCTTGGCAGTGCAGAACTGATGAAGCAAAGATGTCTTGATTGATGGATACATAGCTCGAAACACATTCTTGTACGATGTTGTATGTGCTGTAATGAGACGCACCTCCCATGCAAGCCTCATGAAGCGGCGAGAAGGTAAACAGTGGAGGATTCACTGTTGCGCCATACTCCAACAGCAATTTCACACACTCCAGGCTACCTGCTGCACAGGCATCACACAGCGGAGTGCTGCCGTCGATATTACGAGCATCCACCTGGGCAGCACGGAGGACAAAAATACACCAATTAGTCAAAAATGCACAAATGGAGAACGCTATCAACTTCTTGTGCTGCATTTCTTTGTGTCACCACCTTACCTGTGCACCAGCATCCAGCAGCAGTCTGACACATTGGGTCTGTCCTTGTATACATGCCTCATGCAGAGGGGTGATGGAGTCCACTGCCACGATGTTAACTGCTGCACCTCCCTCGATTAACTGCTGCAGCTGGAGGGCTCGGCCCTGTGCAGCAGCCTCATGCACTGCAGACCGGTCGGTCCAGAATCCAAGACCATGCGCTAGTAAACATGTGAACATCAAAGTAATACTGAGTCTGTCTGCTCATAAATGGTAATGGGTGTGGTTGAATTCAGATGAACCAAGTTATTCTCACGCGTTCAATTGTAGGATATAGTTATTTTTAAACAAGCATAGCTGTGATTTTTGTGACTTAAACAAATGAAGTTATATTTTTTGACTTTGTCTCTGATTGTCTTAGGCACTAAAGAAAACAACAGACCTGAAGTGTGGTAGTAGTTGTGTAGACTCTATTACATTAAAGATGAACTTATTAACAGAAAGTAAGTAGGCTAAATCTATAGACTTTAAAAACGCACAGTGACAAAGTGCTTCAAAAAATAAAAACAAACAAATCATACAGTGAGAAAAATGTACAGAAATAAATAATAGTGGACCCCTCTCAAGAACAAGCAATAATCCTGAATAAGTGTACCAACAGAATCCCTCTTTCAGAAGGAATGTTTCAGATAACAAGCTGCTTCATGGTGTCAATTCATGCTCGGAAACTGGATAATTAAAGCTTCATAAAAGCCAAGCCGATTGTCAGATTGGTTTCCTTTCAACAATCCATTGCTGTTGCACAAACTCGCACCTTTTGCTGCTTTGCTGAGCCCACTAACGAGCTTAAAGCTTGCAATCACGCTCTCTCACTAACTTAGCCCTGTTTAGAAACCATGCTATCTTCTTTTGACCTGGCTTTAATGTTACGTCTGTTGCCAGCTGCTCAAAGTGAAAAGAAAAGCAAATGCAGTTGTAGACACCAACCCCCCCACCCCCTATCAGTCTACCTCATCATTCGTTAAGCAAGACCCGGAATAACCGACTCTATGTTTCTGTTATTCAGTGACTGTAAGCTACTTACCTATTTCTCCGTACAGGGACGGCCTGGCACGGGTTATCTCCATTTCATGTTAACGTTTGCTCCTTTTGTAGACCACGACGATTCAGACAAACAAGTGGTTCATTTTGAAGCTAAAGGTTACAGTAAGATAGGGCTGCATTATTACACGAATCACGCTGAGGAGAAGCAGGAGAGCACAGGGCTAAGTGAAAGCGACCTGTCCACACGTAAACAATGGCATTATGGGTAATGTAGTCAGCTGACCTACAGCAGCAACGTGAAAAACATTAGTTTATGGGTAAAAACGTATAAGCCTAAAAGGTTAATATTTTTTTTTAAGATCATTTAAGTTATTGAACTATTTTTTTTTTAAGAAATATAACTATCTGTTTTGATTTTTTTTTTTTCAACATATTTTTATTAAAGCAAGTTCAAAACATACAGTTCAATTGGGATGAACTATTTGTTTTTGTCTGCATTACTTTTTTTAAAAACATTTTTTTACCCCGCGCTAATGAGCTCTGAGCTGAAGAACCACTAAACATAATGAGTTTGTTCTCTTTCTAACAAGTTATCTATTAAAAAATAAATTTAAACTCAACCAGCATGATCGAAAATTGCATAGAAAATGACATTTCTAAATATGCAGGTAAAAATTATTTGTGTGTGATCCCTGTTTGTGTTTTAATAAAAGCTTGTTATTATATTTCTGGCTTACATTAATCATGCTAATCATTGGTGTTTAGTGCATTGTGCACATTGGATATTTCAGTGGTTCTGCTACTTGTTAGGAATCTGCTTTCATTATCAGTAGCTGAAAGTTCTGTTTCATATAAATGCATGGGACAAATTAAGCAGAGAAAGAGTTGCCTGGGTTTATGTGAATGAAAACTGTCGATCAAATCCTCACTTGAAATGACTGTCTTGGTTTTCTGGACAGATACTGCAATGTCTCCTTTGTATGCAGCCCCAAAAAGTCATGGCAGAACTGTGTACTTGTTGGGTATGACCTTCGACCTCAAAGTGTATTAATTAAATTAAAAAAAAAAGGCTTTTCAACAGTTTCCAATTGATTTCTTACTAAATTTGTTATCTTAAACCGCCCTGTTAAGAGGACAAAGTTTGTTTTCTCAGTGCAATTACATATTGAAAAACCTCCCACACAGTTGATCACTTACACTAAATGATTGACCAATTGTTTAACTAAATCAATTATGATTGAGTTTTATAGTTTATTAAATAAAGGTTGACTTAATAATGCTCAAGGGCACCTTGGCAGTGCTCAGGAGGTGGACTGGCACCTCTCCAGCTACTAGACCAGCTTCTGGGCTTGGTCCATGCCAGGAACTTGAACTGGTGACCCTCCGAGTCCAAACCCAAGTCCCTCCAGACTGAGCTACTGTCGCCCCAAAGTATTTTGAGAACGGAGGAGACCAAACATTTTCAATGTGTGAAAAGTCAGGACTTCATGAAGGCATGTTTATCACCTGGACTCTCCAACTAAGTAGCTGGGCTAATAATACAAGCAGAGGATTGGGAATATCTCACTGAAATAAGTAAGGTCTTTTCTGAAAAGACAATGTGCTTGCTTCAAAACCTGTACTGTCCAACATAAATTGCGCCTTCACAAATGTGCAGGTTACCAATGTTCTGAGAAGTAACGCACCCCCATACCATTATGGATGCTGGTATTTGAACTGTGAGCTTGTTTTATCTTGCGTGCATATTACTCTTTTGGATTTTTCTGTTTGTCCAACACAAACTTGGCAAAATTGACAATATAGTTCACTTTGACTTAAACAAGCCAGATGGTCCTTCTCCTCTATTGCCTGGAGGCCCAAGTGTCCATTATTTCCAAACAGAATTTAAAATTTAGACTCGTCAGAACTCAAGACAATTTTTCACTTTGCCTCAGCCTATTTTATATGAGCCCAGACCTAGAAAAGGAAGCAGCATATATGAGTCTGGTCTACAGTATATGTTGTTTCCTCTGTTAATGGTTGACTTTCAGTGTCAGCTTGCATTTGTGTATGTAGCGACAAACTGTGCTCACAGACAGCGGCTTATGGAAGTGTTTCTGAGCCCATGCAGGGCCATTTTAGGACCAGATTATTACGGCCAGATTTTTTTGAATCTTTTAAAGGTATTATGTAGGATATGATGATATCCCCAGATTATTATCATTTTGGTTCAAAAACATAATGCTTAAAGTGTTACACTATTCTCCAGCATTTTAAAACCTTCTCAAACCTTACTGCAGGCTCTCTGAGACGCTCTTGATAGCGAATCATGTTGCTGACCTGTTGTCAGCTACTTCTTTGAAAAATGTTGTCTGCATGAAATTCAAAATATAGGCATATCATCTTCCAAAAACAGTAACATTTCTCAGTTTCAACACAGGATATTTTCTTTTTGTGCTATTGTCAATGAAATATTGTTGTTCAATTCTTTGCAAATTATCACATTTCGTTTTGATTTAGAATTTACACAACATCCCAATCTTTTTTTAACTTAGGGTTGTATTTAGGAAAGTCAAAGTGTAAGGTTGCCAACCATGTCTGATGCAACCCTTGATTATAAGAAAGATATTGTTGCAAACTGAAACATCAAAAATCCCTTCGTCATTCGAGTGGCCAACCTGTGATGCATGCCTGCTGCAGCTTAACTTGTTTGGGTAAAGTCTCAGGTGGCCCAGAAAGTCCTGGAGTTCCCCTTGGTAAATGATAATACTTGGGCAGGTGCCAGCAGTCTTTTCGTCTTCCGCATCTTAGGTGAATGAGCCGTGGAGATTCACGATGAAGTGCAAGTGCCAGAGAAGAATAGTTTAAAGGACCTGCAAACTCTCGAGCACTTAAATGGTGAGAGAGGTTATCTGTTGTAAAAATAGTTTTCCATGTATGTTTCCTTCCTTTCTTCCTTGGAGATTTATGCATTGTCCGTCAATGATCTAGTCTCCATAGCAAGCATAAATACTGATGAAGAAGTCGTCGTGATTATGGCTCTGCTATTCAGTTGCACTGATCATTTCATGTAACTGAATAGAGTTCAAAGTTTGAGTGCATTCCAGTCAGACTTAGTTATAATTGTTGAGAGTCTATACCATAACAAATCTGAATGTTAATTTCACATTGTAAGATTTTTTTCTGTTCGTAGTGTCCGTCTGGTTCCAAAATGTGTCATTTTTGCACACCTCTTTGGCCAGGTAGTGGAAATGATGTGATAGCCTATGGGATTCTTCAGGTTTTAGACTCTAGACTGTATTGTCCCCATGGGGAAATTCCTTCTGACAGCCCCATTTCTGTCCAACAAACACAAAACACAGTGTATCAAACAAAGTTCAACAACAATCAAATGTTCCCAATCTGGGTTGTTCAGCGAGGCCTTTTGTTCAGGGCAGCTACAGCAGCAGGGATCAGGCTTTTTCCAACGCGAGCCCTTCTGCACCTCAGTGCTCTGTACCTCCGTCCTCAGGGAAGTGGGGTGAGGTGGTGGTGTCCACTGGATGTGTGATGTGATGTGATGTGTTGTGATGGCCCTGCTGTTGAATATTGTTAGGTTGGGCGTGGGCAGACCAATTATTCTGGCAGCAGTGGTTGTGATGCTTCAGAGTTTGGCCTTGTTTATCAAACTGTAAACATGGATATAACTGTAAACAGAACATTTTATCACCACTTTAAAGCAAACAGTGAAATATAAATAAAGGTAGTGTCAGGTTAAACTTGGCAGCCAGTCCGACAATGTCACGCTAAAACCTTACTCGTATTTCCAGCTTATATTGGTGCATATTTCATTGTAGTTACTTATTACAAAAGATACAGATACGAATCTCAGACACTCCCTGGTAGGTGTGTTAGCACAGTATAATAATAAAGTTTCAACATTTTCACAGCATGTGAAGATGCAGGGTTGCTAGATGTGAATTATGGCTCCAACGGGCTATGTAATAAAACCACTATATCTGATTTTTTTTATCAGTGGATTGTTTGAACTGTACCCTCACCCCCTTCATTTACCAAACTAAAAAAAGCCAACTTCATTGAAAATCCACTACTTAAATACTCTTTCAAATACACAAATAAAAAAATAATAATCAAACATGCAATTGTTAATTTTGAATGTAGGAAAGACAATGGATAAGACACTGGGATGGGAGAGTTGGGAATGACGTGGGGTGAAATGCGTAAAATGAGGGTTGGAGTCAAACCTGGGCTGTCAGCTTTCAAGGCTAGAGTCTCTGTACCTGGGACGTGCGATTTCACCACAGGCTGTCCAGCGCCACTTCTTTATATTATCACCACTTGTTTAAATACTCTGCAGTTCATCTATTCTTTGTTGGCCTGTGTTAAATGGCTCAGTAAAAGCTCACATTCAATAGCTGGATCCATACCCTCATAGGTACAAAAACACATACCACTAAAGTAATGAAGGCCATATTCATGTCAGTAACTATAAAGCTATAAAACTGCAGAGAAAGGATGGTGGCACCTTGAAGCTAGCCAACGTGAAAATAAACTTAATACATTTTAATTGTTAAAATAAGGGGGATTGCACCTGCTTTTTTTGTAGCAGGTACAATCGCCCCCTGCTGGCCATTAAGATCAGTGTAATTTAAGGCACTCCTACATTACTTTCAAAATGAAGAGGCTGTTTTCACTCCTTACTTACTTACCTTTTGGGGTGGACACAGAAGTATTTCAGTAAAACATATAAGTGTCTTAAAGCTGCATAAAGCTGCCCAGTAACGTTTTATATTTTGAACAACAATTTCAAGGAAAATATTAGGAATATTAATAATGTTATTAACCACAAGACTACATCATCTTGGTGAGCACATTGTTTTTGTAAAAAAAAAAAAAAATACATATATTCCAAATGATTGTTAACCCAAATAAAGCAAAAAAAAAAAAAGCCAGGTAAATGTAGGCTACTTAAACTTCCCAATTTTATTATAAAAGTAGCAAAAGTTATGTAGAATAAATATACTGGCACTACAGTCTTATCTCATGGGTGATGAGCCAATTTATAATGACACTGTTCCAAACAAGTCCTTCAACCTTTAAAGTTATACTTCACTAAAATCTACTGCATTTTTGTTTTTGTTTTGTTTAATCTAACCATGAATCTAACTGAATAGTATATATCTGCGGAATGGAGTAGTCACGCAGGTGGTTTCTCTGTCAGTCGTTTTGGGTTAGTAATCATTAATTTTTCTCCTGGAACCTCTGACTGTGACTGTGAACAGGAAAAACCGACACACGCCCGGGCGCAGAGGAGCCTCTCCACCGTCACAGTTTGGTTTAGACGTTCAAGATGGACGCTGTACCTCGTCGATAGGTTTCTGTTTCTTTTTCGTAATGGACCTTAACTGCGTTGCTGGTTGCCCCATGAAGACCGAGGGATCTTTCTGGTTCATGAGGATTTCTCGCATATGAAACGAAAACCGTGGATTTCAGTGGATATTTTGTGTTTCTACGCGTTTGGACAGTCGGGTTATTTTTTTTTTAACTTCCTGGTTGTCGTATGATCATGTGTGTCGAAACTGGGCGACGGATCAAGTTACTTTGAAAAGGCTTTATTGAAAACAGTGTACATGGGGGTTTAAAAAATCCGCTGTAATGTATAAAACAAGAGACAACAGTTTTCAACGAAGGGCAAAGGGAGAACGACTGATTTCATAACTGGTCAGCAATGGAAAGTGCCAATGGTGCCTCGAGCAAAGGTGATGTGGTTTGGAAAAACCCCGTGGTGTAACTTTCACTTTAAATGTAATATAATGAGTATAGGACACGATTTTCTAGTAGGCCTAGGTCCACACTTGAGTTAAATATCTCCTATTATTATGTAGTTTGACGAAAAGGGACGGGTGGATTAGGTGTCGCCTCACAGTACAAACCGTCCCAGTCTTGTGCAATAACTGTGAAAGTTTTTTTTTTTTTTTGTTAGTTTGTAGCAGAGTTGAGAACAGTTTAAAGCCTTTCTGCTTTTCTTCCGCAATTTCACTTCATGTTCATTTTTTTTGTCCACTTTTAGGTGTTTTAGTACCTGTGCCAGAAGCTTCTGACGTATTTCAGAAGAGTATTTTGGCCCCACTCAAAAGTGCGTACTTGTACGAAGAATCTAAACAGTCTTTTGAATACAAGTCCGCTTTCTTGTTGAAAAACCCTGAACTAGAAGAAAAGGTCAGTCCAAATCTTGCGTCCAACTATTTAAAATTCACATTCACCATACTTCACAATAAAACTTTAAAAACGCTTATGCATCTCTGCACAGTGTCTGTTATCATTCATAGATGTTACATATTTCCTTTTCAATGCTGTCGATTTTGGATTAACTGCTTTTGAAACCAACCTGTCATAATCTTACAATTAGAAAACCTTTAGTGGATGCTATTAAGTAAGTGCTACTGTAAAATGAATCACAAACGGGAAATTAAAGGGACATTTGTCATGTCTCGTTCTTTTTATTGTCTCTTGTAATCAGTATAATGACTTCCGAGCAAAAAGAAGAGCAGCAGGATATTCAGAAGAGGATCTGAAGGAATCCTACGGTTTTCTGCTCTTTGATGAGGTCAACAAGGTAATAACTTGATACACGGTAGACCTGAGACAATACATGTTTCCAACAACTCTTCTGAATGTCAGTTGTATTTTTTTTTAAAGGCTAACACTCTTGGAGAAACTGGCGTGTTAACAGGAAACAGCACTTGCACAACTCTGGGAGATCCTTCAAAGGGTAAGATTACACTGACATTATAATACATGCAACTCAGGCAGGAGCATAAAAGAGGTTATTGATTTAACATGGTGCCAAGCAGTCCTGTAAGACTGGTTATCTAGTCAAATTAATGCAGATTATTGCTATTTAACTTAACAAATATGTTAACCAAAGTTATTACCCTTGAAATGATATCCTTGTTGGTGTCCTTTTGTGCGGTCTGTCCAGGATATGTAGTGCAGATCCAGGAAAAGAAAAAGTACTTGTGTAGTGTTTGGTGCTGCTCTGCCTTTGAAAGTGAAAGCAACTTAAATGCATGAATACATAGAATTGAAAGTGGAACAGATTTTGATGTGAAACAGAAACTGTATGACAGGTCTTAAGAAAGTGTCGGCTGCTTAGTATGAGTCAGAAATGGCCTGCTTCACTGTGCAATATAACATTGATTTTATACTTCTGGTACCATGTACTGTTTTTTTTTTCTCTCCATAACTTCAAGTTTAACATGTCACCTCTTGGAATTCAATTCTGTCTGTTATGTTTTTCTTCTAACTCACTGTGATAAGTTATCAGTTATGAACAATGGTCTAAAGTCTTATCAAGGAGCTGTTTTTCTTTCAACGCATGCACCCATTGGAGCGGCACGTGAAAACAAGAGCTCCTCTGAGTCACATGTTACACATTTTGTCAAGTTGCACAGGGTTAATCTGTATTTTACTCAGCAGCCAGGCCTGTTTTCATCTAGGACGGATTTTTACACTAAACTTTGGCTTTAAAAAATACATTTTGACATTCAAAAGGTAACCTGAAATAGAAAAGAAAGATTTTAAAAGTCTTTTCATTTGTAAAGACACGATAAGAACGAAGCAATTAGAGGGCTGTCTTGAGAACACATGAGGGTAAAAGCAATTTATATTTCATGAAATGTGGTTGTATCTTTTTAGTGTCTTTATTGCTTTTTTCAAAACAAGAGTTTAACTTCCTTAAGTTTGCGATTCTTGCTTTCTCCTATATCACATGTCCTCTAACATATTATCATGACAGACTCATTCATCCTACATGAGTGACTGCTTTGTTTTTTAAAGGTGAAAGAGACTTTTTTAAATACTATTGTTGGTTTTCGTAGTGTTTTGAAATGTCTTTACTTTAGCTGTACACGGCTGACAAGGGACTATAAAAAACGTGCCAAACCTGCCAAACCAGTTAGCTCGTATGTATTGCCTCATTTGTTCAGATTTCCAGCTTGTTGTTTTCAATGAAGAAGAGAACTTATTTGACCTTTTCGGTTTTTTTTTTTGGCTCCAGCACCCACTTATAGTCTTAATAACATTTTCACAGGCCAATACCCTTCTTATATCTTTTAGCCAGCTGATGTCAGAGTCCTTAAAGAGCCCATATTATGCTTTTTTTGTGGTTCATATATTTAATCTATGTACCTACTAAAGTATGTTCACAATAGCTAAAGTTCTAAAAAAGTGTGTGTTTTCATGTACTGCCGCTCCATGCACCGGCTCGCTTCTGACTCTCTTTCTAAGGCTCTGAAGTGCCCACGTTCAGAGTCCCCACGTGTGCCAATTCTGATCTGATTGGTCGGCCTGTCGGCTCTGCCGTAATTGGTCAGTCGCTCAGCCACTCTGGCTCCGAGGGCCGGGGAGCAAAAACATTAGCACTACTGTGCTACCGCAGGCTACAGCATATCGTGGGCGTGCCACAGAAGTTAACGGGCATACAACATGAGCTGCTGGGCTTGCCACAACGAGCCAATGGGCTTAGATCAGTGATCTCACACTGACAAAGACGTCACACTGGCAAAAAAAAATTCAAGGGGGGCTAGAACCGAGTGTTACATGTAGCTAATGCTACAGCTAACAGGAGGACGTAGGAGAATCCGCATTTCGCTGACTTTCAATTTTTGCAAATAGATGTGCCTAAACATGCACAGGACACTTGGAAAACACACTAAAGGGCATATAAAACCAGAAAAAGCATAATATGGGCCCTTTAAAGAGAAATAGATCTTACATGTCTCTCCCTGTAGACCTTTGGTAGAAAAGGGTCGTTTTTTTAAATTCTGTAATTTAACTAAGATTGTAGCTTATTCTTCTTGTGAAACCTGGACAGATATGCTCTTGCTCAGAGAAAACAATTGACTTTTTCGGAATTAATTATCATGTTCAATGTTCTCCACAGAAACTAGAGTAAGGGGTTGATTTCAAGGGCAATAACCAATCTTTAAAATCGACAATGTGTGTTGTTACTTCAACGTGAAATTATTGGAAAACTGCTGTTCTTTTAGAACAATTTGAATATACGTATAGAGCCTAAAGTCACTACAACGTTGTTCACACCTTGTAGACTAACTCTGTATCCTAAAATCTCTTGCTGGTATCATTCTCTATATCGCACACAATGCACCATTGTTTAGAGGTCATGTAAGACCGCAGTGGGTGACATTTTTTAGGTATTCAAACTGTGGTGTGTCCATGACATATTTATCTTTTAAGGTGTGGTCTTACTGCAGAAGGAGTGTCAGGTGTTTCAAAAGAATCTTCAGAGTTATGAGTTTATTGTAATCTTTTATTATGAGCTCCTCAAATCTGACTAAATTAACCCTCTCTGTATTTGTCTGTCCCAAACACACATCAAGTGAATGTTTTCTGCTTTTACTCAGGTATCTACATATCAATGTACTCTGACTGTTTGGATCTCAATCGCTGGTATCATGGGAAATCTGGATACATTGCCATCCTCAAGCTGACAAAGGTATTGAAAAAGCATTGATTGATATTCACTTGTGATGTGTAGCGCTGTATTTTCATTCACAGACAAACAGGATAAAGCCGGTGTTGTTGGTTTCTGTTATGAACAGGGGAGAGTTAAAAAGACTCTTGAAAACTACACTCAAACCTTCACCGTGCCCACTGTGGGGTTTGACTGCCATGTGTCAGAGCAGTTGCCCTCAGTATCTGACAAAACCAGCTCCTTTCTTGCCTTTGAAAGAACCCAGGTAAGAAGATACGTGCGACCCCTGATGAACGTCATAAAGTTGATCCCACTGTACATGCCACTTTAATATGGAGCTGAAAATGAACAGAAAATGTAGATGCATTAAAAGTACACTGTACATTGTTTTAATAATATATGGATTTCACCAGGAGGTAACACATGACTAGTAATCCCTAGATGTTGTTTCGGTAGTGCAACTTTTATCTGTTTAGTGCTTCCTTGTCATTACAATATTGTTGATCATCTTCATGCAAGAGTGTCATAGACAGCAGGCAGCTCAAGGACCGCTTGTTTTGATTTTGCAGTACTATATGTATGAGCTGCTGGATGATGGAAGCAGTGAGACGTCTCCATCTCCCAGTGCTGCCTGCCCTTATGCCATTGTATCATTTTCATACACGGATACCAAAGCCACGCCTGTAGCACCCCATCAAGAAAGGTACTGTAGAAACAGAGGCTCTGCCCTTTACTGTGCACTGTACTAAATTTGATTTTAAACATGTGGACATTAAGGAATGGTAATGCAATGTTTTCTGATTTCTCTTTTCAGTGAGGAGAAAAAACTGAGTAAGTTTCATTAAATTGGTAACAAACCTGTTATGGCTTCACTCTGTATAATGCTATAAAACAGAATAACTATTACACTGCTATAAGGTAGTTCAATCTAATAACCAGCACACGTGAACTGCTGTTTAAAAGATTTAAAGGGGACATATTGTGAAAAATCCACTTTTACAATGTTTTTGAACACCTATTTGGGTAACCTGAGTGTCTACCAGCCCACAAAATATGAAATAAATCCATCCAGTCCTTTGTTTGTAGTCTGCGTAAGTCTTACAACACTGAGAAGAGTGCTCCTTTTAAAATTTGCTCTCCTTGTGATGTCACAGTGGGATTCTGGTAAAAAAAAAAAATCCCCTCCTCTCCCCTGATAGCTCAACTCATGGACTACATTCCCAGCCTAGAGCAAAACTTTTGCACAAGTCTGCCATTTTTAGTCCTGCTACAGAGGATTGATGTCTACGGGGAAAACTCAGGGGGGGCTCATTGCATTTTAAGAGACACACACACCAAAACAGAGCGTTCTGAGAGAGCTGGTTTATACAGGGTCACAAACCTCATCTGGTGCTTGATTCATGTTATATTTTAACCAAAGCACAGCACAGATGTTTCATTTAGACCACAGGGGGACTGTTTGAAAAGGTGGAAAAGGGGTATAATATGTCTTCATTAAATACTTTATTTGTAGAATTTTTACGACCTTTTTTTTTTTTTTACTGAATGGGACTGTTAATGTATGATTCATTTTTTCCCTCAGTTTGTCATTTCTTTCCATGGAGGGGTCAGCTTCAAATAGTTGACCAGTTCTATGATGTCAGGCTGAGGTCTACAACAGGGGCCTTGATCCCTGCAGAACTGTAAGTTTAGAAAATACACACAGTATTCCTACATGACTTAAAAATGTTATTCATAACCTCTTTTCTATGCTCTATATTTTCATTAAAGGCCACCAGTGGTGAAAGTTGACCGGGCGATTTCCATGTTAGATCTGAGGCAACGTTTGCCAGGAGCTGTCTTCGAAACCTGCTCCCTGTCTGGGGAAGGTGCTGCAGTTTTAGACAATTTGAAAAAAAAAAAAAAAAACTATTCACAGGAGCTATATTTTCTACACATTTCCTGCATTTATCAATCATATTGATGATTTCTTTTGCTGTCTTGCAGTTGTTTTGGATGGCTTATGCTGCAGTATTTGTGAGTTTGTTTCTTCTGAGGTAGATGAAACCAACTCACTTTCTCTGCTGATGTGTGAGGTCAAGGAGAATAATATTGTGAGTTTCTGTTTATATTCAAATCTTAGACGCTGTAGGGGCCTAATCATTCATTCAATAAAACATAATTTCTAGCTTTGCTTTGCATAATAATATGCTTGCTTGCAATCCGACAGCCTACAATGTACCTTAAAAACGTGCTCTTTTTTGCACAGGCTCTTCCAATTCCACTGAAGGATGGTGGATTCCTAATCTTGGTGCACTCCTCCCATTTCTCCTCGTATGACGGTAAGATAATATGACAATAAGAACTTTGTCATATATTGTCAGTTTCATGATGACCTTGTTTATGTAGGTCTTTGTCAACAGCCCTTAATCGGCATCATATTGACCTCATATCTTATCTGGGTTTTTTTTCACAGATACTGGGTCCAGTGGGCCTGAGGTTTTGCAAGGCGTATTTGTGTTTCCTGACTCACGAGTTATACAGAAAGGTGATTACAGAGTGTTTTTAACAGTGGTTATTTTTTATGTTTCTCAGATTACTTCAATTAAATTACAGTTCTTATATGTGTTTGATTAGAGTCAATGTCATTTTATCCATGTAGAAGCAGAGATTAAACTATTACTCTTTCTTGATTTATCTCAGACACAAAATGTGGACACAGAAACCCTACCATACCACCTGAAATCCTCCGGTTTCTACCTGTCCTGAGTTATGCAGAGGGTGAAGTTGAGAAAACACCCATTGATCCAAGTGAGAACTCAGTGAAGTAATGGCACAGCATATGCAGAATTATGCAGCACTTGTAAATCCTGGGTTGGACTTAATTCCCTCAAGGGAAGTCGGGATCTTTGCTGATCAGTATGATGTGCCAGGTGCTCACAAGCATCTCTACGCATCCCCAGAGTGGACTAACAGGGCATGGCAAAGCTTACAGTCATACCTGAGCAAACCGGCCTCTTTTCAAATACCTGTGGCCAAGGCTTCGGAAATCCTGGTGGTCGGACAAGAAAACCAAGTAGAAGACCTTGATGATGATCTGTACATCTGCCTGTCATCTCCTGAAGAAGTACCAACAAATGCTGCTGGCACTGGGTCAGAAGATCAGCTGTCAGGCCAGGAATCTTGTATGAATGTTGGGACATCAGAAACAAGTGTTGAAGCACCAGTTGACTTAAGAGTTTATCCGCAAAATGTTGAAGCAGATGATTTGCAAGTTAAAGGTTCTGACAAAGACACTGAACAATCTGAACTGAGGGAGCTGATAAAAACTGATATGAGGACGAAAAGTCTTCTGATTCCCTCTGCATCTGATGAACTGCCTGCAGAATTGATTGTCAGCATTACTTCAGCAGAGCAAACTGATGAGAGTGTGATCAGTGCTGAATCTGCCAAGCTAAATGACTTACAGATTTCAGATTTTTCAACAGCAAAATCACAAACAACCGAAGTGAACACACTAAATGATGACACTGTAAGGGCCAAAAAGCTTTTGGATGCCCCGGAGGTCAACAGTCTCCCAAAAATGAAATTTATAAAAGTACGCAGGGGTCCTGCCAAAGGTCGCAAAAAGGTATCTAACACTTGGATTAAGACACCCAGTTTACCAACAGAAGAAATGTCTGTGGAGTCTGACAACTCAACAAGTCTGAAGGATAACCTCGCCAAGGAATCAGTAGACCACCAACAGTCGAGTAAACCTACCATTACTGATTGGAGGAAAGCACGAAGGCGAAAACGCGTATTTGGAAAACTATCACAGAGAAATAAAAAAGTTAGATCTTGTACTGTTGGTCCATCATTTGCAGAGGAGAAAAAAACAGATCCTGTACAGCAGCATTTGATGGAACTGGAAGCTTTTCCTCTAAGAAGGAAAACAGAGCGCTGGGACTTGAAGCCGGTTGTGAGCGAATGTGGAAGAATCTTAGTTCCTCATGGATCTGTAGACATCACTGATAAGATCAAGTCTTTAAAAGATAAGCTTCAATCTAGCACAAATGAACAGGAAGTTGAAAAAATGTTGGTTGTTGCTTCTGAAGAATCTCCTGACGCAATTGAAATGGAACAAAAGGCTAGCACAGCCCCAGAGACAGCATTGGCCAAAATAGAGACCACAGCTTTCAGGAATGGAGGTGACCATCTTAAAAATGACACAGTCAGTCCTGTTTCTCCGAAACACAGCATTTCAAGACCATTAGATGCTGGCAATGACTCATCAAATATTAATCTAGAGAGTGCTGTACTTCTTTCAAAGAGTCATGACACTTCACCTCTGGAAGTGGTTCAAAAAAATCCCAGTCATGTTGTCACAACAGGAAAGTCTCAAACAAAGGCTGAATTCCTTTTGAGCAAACTAAAATCAGTTCTTCTTAGAGGAAAGAGGAAGATGGGACCCCTTGCATTGGAGAATATGACTGACTGTACTGCCCAGGCAGCTGAACCCTGTCTCAAGATGAGCAAAGTTGAACCAGAGACTGGTATTTTGAAGAGTAATGAAACTGATTTGGGTTTCAAAGAAGTGTCAAAGGTGCTGTCAGTTGACCCTCTTTTTGCATATGCCCTTGGCCTGACTCCTAAAGAGATACCAAAGATGGTCCAAAAACCCGAAAGTCTTGATGTTCAACAAAGTGAAGACTCATCACAGACGCAAGAAAAAACCTTTGAAAAACAAGGTCAAATCCTAATAAGGCCTCCTTCAATTTTTCCAAGAAGAGGTAGGATTAAAACGCTCAAAAAGCATCAAGACATCTCTGCAGAAAATGTTAAAAAGAAATGTAAGTCTAAATTTTCGGTTATTAAACTATTATTTTCTTGCATGTATAAAATGGAACACACCTTTTCTTGGCTTTCTCAAAATTGTCTTTAGCAGCTATGCTTTGCCTTGCTTTGCTTTGCTTTTCTTCACCTCGCTTACTTCACTTTTAGTTTCAGTTTGCTCTTGCTTGGTCTGAGCTTTTGCAAATCCTATCAGGCATCTGAACCTAGATAATGCTTTATTGGTCTAATAAATCAATCCCTTTGTTCATGTTGGTGATGTGTTTCAGATGCTTTCAATGTGCTATTTCCTTTTCTCATGCAGTTTCTCTTTTTTGTCCTTTGTTTTGTTTTCACAGGGTGGTTACATTTTCAAACTCCAGCTTGTTTTGCAAGAGAAAGACACAATGACAAAGAGTGTACTAGGGATAATTCTGTGAAGAAGACTGTTGTGGAAAAATTGAACAGTGCTTGTTCATCTACAGATGCTTTGAACTTACTTGCTGACTTGGCTCTTAGTGCCAGTCATGATGAGGTTCCGCCACAACCAACCCAAGCACTTGGGACACAACCTGAGACAAGTTTGAAGAAGTGTGACCTTACAAAAGATGTTACCAGTGTTGATCAAGAGTCAGTTCTACATGCCCTGCTTAGACAGCCTGCTGCTAGACCCATCCAGACTCTCGATTCTCCCTCACCAAGCCATCTTGTGGAATGCAGTGAGTTGGTTGGTTTGGTATCTAAAGAGCATGCTTACTCATTGCCTCCGTCTTCCTCTCTACCATTGGGTTTGCCAGGTACACCCTTCCAGGTTTCCCCTTTAAGTGGTTCTTCTGGACTGCTGCAGCATCAAAGGACAATGTATGAGGATGGAAGTAGAGCATTTAACCCCTCTGCCATTCAGAAAGATAAAGTTGAACAAGTATACAGGACTCAAGACGACCTGAAAAAACATTTGATGCGCAGAAGGAAGTTCAGACACTCCCGTACCTTTGTCAACATGAATGAATCTGTCCAAGTGACAAAACAATGGAAAGAGAACTACGATTTTAATCTAGACAGCAAGTTTGCAAGTGACTCAAAGGATGGAGCTATTATCCGAGCCTTGCATGGGTATGTATATTGAGTTAATTTTTTTGTACAAGGGTTCTCAATATTTAAAAATATTTATGGCTATACATATCTTTATATTCAGCATTCATTTTGTACTTGTCTGCTTTTTAGTTGACAAATATGGGATATATGTATATTCTAGACTTTTAGTTCAGCTCAGATGGCATTGATTGACATAATATTCAGATAATTGGACTAACTTTTGTGAATTTCATATCTTCAACAGGCCATGGGATTACTCTGTTCAAGACTCCAGTGAAGAGCTTCGGCTCATCGTGCACATGTGGATAGGTCTGTTCTACAGCCGGTCAACACCCAGGTTGTTTCATATCGACTCTGACTCAACATTACCATGTTCAGAAGAGAGTGATTCTTTGGAAATGTCCAGTGAATTGGTATCAAGCTCAGGCCAGTCTGAGTTGAATGCCAATTCAGATGCACATTTCCCAAATGTGGCGGACACTTCAGACCCTTTAATTTCAAAAGCACTGGACCTCAGCAAGAAAGACAGCTCTGCCTTGAACCAAGGAATTACTTTGGACCATGGATCTATGATTTTGGACTTGTCTGTGAAAAACTCCAATGCAGAGGTTGTCACTTCTGATTCACAAGTCACAAGCAACAAAGACCCAGATGCGTCTAGTGAATGGAAAGGAGCAAGTAAAACATTGAACACCCAGTCATCCAAGGGACAACAGGAAGCAAGTCCATCCAAGGTTTGTTTCAATTGTTACTATTACATTAAAGACAAAATTGTATGCATTTGGAGAGTTGCTATTTTCAAATGGTTTGGCATACAATCAATGCTATTGTTAAGCAACTACCTAAAATCTAATGGAGGCACTTGGTTTAGTAACAAGGGACAAACCAAACTTTGCGACAAAGTCCTCTTGAGATCTAAATGGGGGTAAAAAAATTCTACGTCAGGGGGCACCAGTGGGGTAGTGGTTAGTGCATGAGCCCCTTTGTACGGAGACTGAATAAAAAGGAGACTGGATAAAAAAACCCAATATAAATCTTCATCAGCTTCTTAATACTCTAAAATTCAACTTAGAACAGGGCCCAGATGTTATGTTTCTAACCTCCAACCCGAGGTTGAGCCAATCACAGCCATTTATCTGTTATTCGGCAAATTGACAGTGGAGTGCTGTACAACCTAAATGGCTGCCATTGAGGAAAGGACATTCTTTATTAAATATCAAGCAGTATTAAACAGGATTGGAGTTGACATTATTTGTTGTTGGTAAGTGTTTGTTAGTAAATCTTATCATACTTGAAATTTGTTTATATTGAACTACAATCCATTTAAATTGGATGCTTGAAATAGCTACCAAGCTTAACAGTTACTGTTATTTGGTTGTTACATCTTGGAGTGAATTGGCATCTCAAACCAACACTTGACACATGAGACTTCTTATTTGGGAATAATCAAAAAAATGACCAACCACAAGCCCTCCCTTGGATGAAGAAGGTTGAAACTGTTGGTACAATCCATTATGTCGTAAATTGGATTTCAGAGCATGGAATGACGTCACACGGGAGTTGACCAGGTTCCTGTAACGAGTTTGCAACAAGTTGGAAAAACAACATGGACGCCCCCAGGAGTACCTTTTGTTGAGCTAGCTAATACTAGGCGATAACAACAAACTGTATGATAGTTTGCACGTAAAAGCAAAATGACAACATGTCCACAAATGTTCCTTGCACTATACTGATTTAATTGCACAAAAACAAGACTAAGTTGCTAATAAACACTCTAATGTAGAGTTTATACCTTACTGTTGATGCATGGAGCAGCCATGTTGGATTGTGAGCTTGGGTTACTGAAGTTCATCTGAGTTTCCAAGTCGTTGTTCTGATTTCAGAGGGCGTTCCTGATGACATACAACATGGCATTCCGTCTTCCTAGATCAAATTGCATGCACCTTGTAATTCATAGTTAAATTTACCATCCGTTTAGTTTTTCCATCTACCCATTTGTCTTACTATGTGAGATAAGGACTCTGACATACTTTATGGCACACAGGCACAAAGAAAACAAGACAGATGTTCGACTTTATATCCCTATTTAGACTGGCGTTTCAATGGTTATTGAAGCCACGGAATCAATATGGATGTAAAAAGACGCGATGATAGCTGAGCTTAGTTACAGGACTTTTTCAAAATAAGCAGTCAGAAAATGGACTGTATGCTGCTTTTTTATTCTTGGGGTCAAAGTGTTTGAGGCCTCTTTTACCAGACTTTAACACAATTCTGGTTTGTTTATGTTGTGTGGTAGATGTTTGTATATTAATCAAAACGGGAGTTGTTTAGACTGATCATTTCACTTGCCCATGTGAAGACAATAAAGAGCGTAATATAATAAGGGAAATATGCGCCTGATGAATATTTTAAAAATAACAAACTAATAATCCAGAGAGGAACAACGCTCAGATGACTTTTTAATTCTAATATTTTATTTTTAATTATTACAATCTGTTTTCTTCTTCCTTTTTAGGTTTTTAGAGAGATTGTACTCTCAGAAAAGATCATTAAAGAGGTGAATGATGTCAGAATCACCTATAAAAACAACAGGACCTGCACAACTTTGCAAAAAGTTGGCCAATTGGAGCACACTAATGTTTCATATGTACCAAGAATTCTTGAACAGAAAGCAATGGAAGATGTAACCATTCAACCAGAAAAAGATCAGACTACTTCCAGAATTGCTGACATGTTACAAGGATGCTACAATGACAAGACTGACGTGAAAGTTGACACTGGGAATTCAGAGGCCACAGAGATCCGTTTGGTTCAACCACTTGAAAGGTTTTATCCAAATCCATGATGGATGACTCCAACAAAGAAGCAGGAGATGGGGTTCCGACATTTCAGCCTAATGAAATTGAACCCAAATATGGAGAGGAACTGGAAGTAAAAGGAAAGCTACACCAAGATGATAACCATGAGCCTTATCCAAAACGTATCCAGGAAGGTGGGGATACAACCATCAAAGATTTGGCTGTAGTTTGCCATGAAAATCTTATGGAAAATGAAAAGCGGTTATCAAGTGAGGGACCTATGGCAGTCTCAGAAAGCAAGGCTGTAAATGTGAATGAAGATGTGGATTGCTGTGCAATTAATGAAAGTAAAGTGATCACAGAAGATCACTTTGGTGAAGATGACAGGCTTGTTGAGAAAGACAGTTCTGTTTCAGCTGTGGATACTGAAAGCGATGAAAAAAATCATCCATTGTCTGTGATGTGTAATGGCCAAGACTTTGTTAAGAAGGATGACATCACAAAGCATACATGCCCAGAGCACCTGGATGAGCAGCTACCACAAGCGGAAAACAAAGAATCGTTTCATGATTTACAGTTGAGAAAGCTCTGTGCAAATGGCAGAGATGAACATACCATCCCACAAGGATGCTACAATGGCAAGACTGACGTGAAAGACGACACTGGAAATTCAGAGGCTACAGAGATCCGTTTGGTTCAACCACTTGAAAGGGTTTTATCCAAATCCATGATGGATGACTCCAACAAAGAAGTAGGAGGTGGGGTTCCGACATTTCAGCCTAATGAAATTGAACCCAAATATGGAGAGGAACTGGAAGTAAAAGGAAAGCTACACCAAGATGATAATCATGAGCTTTATCCGAAACGTATCCAGGAAGGTGGGGATACAACCATCAAAGATTTGGCTGTAGTTTGCCATGAAAATCTTATGGAAAATGAAAAGCGGTTGTCAAGTGAGGGACCTATGGCAGTCTCAGAAAGCAAGGCTGTAAATGTGAATGAAGATGTGGATTGCTGTGCAATTAATGAAAGTAAAGTGATCAAAGAAGATCACTTTGGTGAAGATGACAGGCTTGTTGAGAAAGACAGTTCTGTTTCAGCTGTGGATACTGAAAGTGATGAAAAAAATCATCCATTGTCTGTGATGTGTAATGGCCAAGACTTTGTTAAGAAGGATGACATCACAAAGCATACATGCCCAGAACACCTGGATGAGCAGCTACCACAAGCAGAAAACAAACAATTGTTTAATGATTTACAGTTGAGAAAGCTCTGTGCAAATGGCAGAGATAAACATGCCATCCCAGAAAAAGGTCCTCACTCCTCATCAAACATGGAGGCCAAATGTAATGAACCTGCAGTGAAGGAAAATGCAGAAAATGACATTTGTACTGCTGCTAAAGCAACAAAGAATGAGAGCACGTGTTCGTTGGATGGGTCGAACGCAAGGAACTGTATTCCCCAGACAAATAACAGAGTTGCATCAGGAAACAAAAACAAAGCAATGGCAAGCTTCAATCTAAGAAGTGATGATCATAAACATTGGGATACCAAATCAGTTCAAATGGTTGATAACACAACTGATAAGGAATTATCACTTCATCTGTCTCATTCACCCAAGTGTGAGCAAATACAGCTTGAAGCTGAAGTGACAAAAGAAATGGATCAAAGAAGTGGCAAAACAAACGAGGGATTGGAAGAGTGTAATGGTAGAGTTGTAATTCCATTTATTGGAATTGACATCTCTAGAGAGGATATAGTACTTCCTCATGACTCACAGTCACAAGACTGTAACTGTAAAAAGGCAGACGTGTCTACAGGCAAAGTATCCCTTCTTGATATTCCTGAAAACAAGCCATGGGCCTTTGGAGGTTGGTCTGACGACCGGTGCCCCACACCAACTATGGATGAGAAACCATATGAGTCCATAACTTCTTCTGATCCTCAAAGTTATCCATCCAGCACATTTTTGACTCAGAAATGCCTCAATGGAAGCTCAGTAACTGGAAAAGACAAGGTGCCTATTGAACAAAAACCTTGTCAGAAGTCTACAGTTAACGGAGATTCTGACCCTCATCATGGTCTTCACCCTGATCTTGAACTAAGAACTTTAAGAGTTTTTCAAAGTATAGACCAGTTCCTCTCCAAATCTGAGTTGAAAATAATCCATAAAAAGTCAGCACCAGTGTCTTCCTCTTCAGTACAAAAAGTGCACACAGAATCATCAGCACACTTTCTTATATCACCTTTCAAAAGTAAAATAGAGGAAGTACTTGGGGTTGGGTTGCAGCTTAAGAAGACAGACTCATCGGTACGTCAACAGTATTTTGAAGGAACAGAAAAATCACAAGAATCTTCCTCAGGGCAAGGTTATTGTCATCCCCACCACTCCCTTTCTTCTACTTCTACTTTGGGAGCCATTATTTCAAATGTTGACCAAGACACAGCAACATCACAGGCCAATTTAAGTCATGAACCATGTTCATCCAGTCTGCGCCCTGTCATGGCTGTGAAACCATCAAAGAGTGATGAAAGTCAAGCAGATAGCCTATCAAAAGACAGACAAATTGATCACTCTGTAATGTCAAAATTTGCCAAAAATAAACAACCTAAAATCCCTTTGGTCACCTCTCCTACACGCACTACAATGCTATTGGAGAAACAGAGAGAATGTTACAAAGGGACTTCTGAAGGAATAAACAACAATGCCCAAGAAGCCTCCAAACTTTTAGAGAAGAGCAGTTGGTCGCCACATGTAGGTGACCGTAAGTCAAAGTATGATAAAGATACACTTGTATGCCAAGATCCTTTGTATCAGAACAAAAGAAGGGACTCTTCAAAATACAACAAGATTTCTTCATCATCTCTCCCTGTTCAGACTTTTGGATGTATAAAAAGTTCATCTCAACTTGTCAATGGAAAACATGGTTTCTCTACAAATAGTTCAGCAGATAGAGTTGGTCAGACAGCTGCAGAGAGTCTTGACATGGATCAGAACGACTGCTTGAGTGCATCAACTTCACTTGTGGACTACAAAGATGACAACAACATTGATGACAGTCTCTACCTGGGCCCTGATAGCTCACTCTCATGCACCGTCTACAACACCAGCCAGAAGAGATCTCATTCATTTCTGGAGCAGATTTCTCAACGGTGCATACAAGAAGACCCAACTGAGGCGTCAATGGAACAGGAATGCCTTATCTTTTCAGAAAAAATTAAACAGCTTCTGAAAAGAAGTAAAAAGGGATCAATCCACCAACCTGAGTCACATGGAAAATTGAATCTGCCTTGCCCCAGTCCTATGACTGTACACTTCTCAGGTCTAGAAGAGCAGGAGGAAACCATGGATCACTTGGATGCACCGTCACTTTTTGGACAAAAAATCAAGGTTCACATGTCTGACAGGGAAGACCTGGAAGCCACCACAGAGGGGGAAAAGGCTTTACATTCTAAAAAGTCATCTGAAGGTACAGGCACACCAATTGAAGATGCTGGAGTGTCTACTGTGACTGCAGAATGTGCCGAGCTGTATGAGGAAAAGATGAACAATATTTGTGCTGTCAGAAAAGTCCCATCTACACGTAAGCACATGGAAAGAGGTTGCCCAAGGTCTGAACCAAGTAAATATTTCGACTTCTGTGACCAAATGAAGAGGGAGATGGACAATAGTTTTCGCAGTAATCTGAACTCAGTTGTGAAGAAATCTCGCAAAACTAAGTACAGATTCTACATATTAGAGACGTCAGATGATGTCTTCTTTGAGGAAACCAAGGTAAGACAAGTAAAAAAAAAAATTGCTGTATTTTCTAATTGTTTTAATTTTAGCTGAATGGTTCATTGCCTAGGTTCTTGGTATACATTTTAAGTAGATTATCTTAAGAATATTAGTAGAAATATCCTTATATAACATGTAAATTTTTTAAGCAACATTATGTATGAAAATGTTGCAGACGTATGCAGCTTTTAAAGTCTAATGGCGGAATTTGTGCTTGATTTTCAAAAGGTACAGTTGGAGGCAGAGGGCCACACTGCTGTACAGCCATCTGAGTTTTTCCTTGATAAGGGTACTTCTTCATCTCTTCTCATCATCCTCAGGAATGAAGACATTGCAGAGCACATTTGTGAGGTAATTTACAGCCAGTGAAAATACTGTTGCAGTCCTGAATGATAATGAAATGATGATTGACCTTTCTGCTATCTCAGGTCCCACACTTGTTAGCGCTGAAGAAATCCCCTGGCGTGCAGTTTGCTGGGATTGACGAAACAGATGATGTTGTCAACCTCACCCATCAGGAGCTCTTCACAAAGGGGGGTTTCATAATGTTGGACGGGGCAGCACTGGAGCCCCTCAGCCTTTGTAAGTCTACTTTTAACTAAAGAGCTGTTGATTGAGAATGTGTCATGTTAGTTGCTTATTATTATCCTCGCTTTACTCATAATATCAACTTTGTTTTAATTTTAAGGTGACATGAAAAAAATGTCAGAAATCTTGCAAGGACTGAGTAAAACAGGGAAGTGGAAGTGGATGCTACATTACAGAGACAGCCGTCGGTTAAAAGAAAATGCAAGGTATGGATCCCCTCTGGAAAATAACAAAAACATTTTACATACAAAGCTTTTTGTACAAAGCTGTCTTTTTCTGTAACCCATACAATACATACAAGGTTTTAACAAAGAAAATAACATTTTTTATAACTCATTTATCCTCGGTTACCATACAAGTTGATTGCAATCATTTCATAATAGAGTGATTTTGATTGTGCATATTGGAAAAGCCTCTCCATTATCTTGCCTAAACGTGTATGTTTGCTCCCTCCATATTTAGGTTGAGTCAAGAGGCAAAAGAGAAGAAGCAACTCCTAAACTGGTGCCAAGAAGCTGGAATAATTGAGGTGTTGCCTTATCATGAGTGTGACCTCATGTCAAGAGATCAGCCGGATTATCTCACATGTTTGGTCCGCCTACAGGTCCAGAATATATCTGCACGTTACACTGTTTTTATAACCGGTGAGACAATACAGCACGAGTACACTTTTACAATCAATTATTCACCTGATATTTTAATATTTGGTATGCAATTAAGGGATAGCAAGTATTAGAAAAAATGTATCTTATACCTAAATGTAGAAGTAGAGTACTGCATTGGATACCTTTTTTGTCTACTATTAATACCCATCATATAGATGGATGGATGGCTAGATAGATAGATATATGGATAGATAGAGTACTTTATTAATCCCTAAGGGCAAAATAGGTTTGCAACAACTGCTTCAACAGCATTCAACAAATACAAAACTCAAAGCTAAACTTTTTAAATAGAAAGATAGTCTCACGGGGAGTTCCTATATAGTAGATAATACAATTTACACAATAGGTAATGTACATTCAATAATAAATAGTAGTCAGGATATATTCAAGTAGAGTGGTAAGTGCATGGGATAAATGAGTCCAGTTCAGTGTCTGTGGGTTTGGCATGTGCACATTTGTTTTTTCAGTGAAAGACCTCCTGTATCGTACTTTTGAACGGCGGCGTTGAATTAGTCTGCTGCTATTAAAATGATGCAGCATGTTGTAAAGAGGGTGGGAAACATTGTCCATGAGGGTCTATAGTTTTGACAGCATTCTGGCCTTAACCACCTCATCCAGTCTGACAAGCTGCAGGCCAACAACAGTCCAAAAGTAATACCATTCACCTTGGCAGAGGTCACAGAGGTATTTAAAAAGCTCAAGCTATGGCTAAGATTCCCCCTAAGATGCTGAAGACTCTAGACATTGTGGGCGACTCTTCACTGTCGCATGGAGGTATGGGACAGTGTCCGAGGAGTGGCAGACCGGGGTGGTGGTTCCCACCTGTAAAAAGAGGGACTGGAGGGATATCACACTACTCAACCTCCGGGGGAAAGTTGACTCTTGGGTGCTGGAAAGAGGCTCTGAAGATTGTCGAACTTTGAATACAGCAGGAACAAAGGGATTCTGTCCTGGTCGTGGGACAGAGGACCGACTCTTGACCCTCGCAGAGCTCCAGGGGGGAGCATGGGAGTTTGCTCATCCAGTCTATGAGTGTTCTGTGGCTTTGGAGAAGGTCTGTGAGCGTGTCCCCCTTGGGTCATGTGGGGGGTACTACAGGTCCTGGGGCCGTCGCTCAAGCCACCCGGTCCCTCAATAACCAAAGTGCCCGCATCAAAGAAGCAGTTAGTTGTGAAAAATGCCACCAAATCTATTTCTCTACACAAATACATTAAACCTTTTTTTAAAGAGAGTGAAAATTGAATTTAATATATTGTACAATAAAGTTTTGTTGGGTCTCTGTAGTTTTATACATCTCTCAAATCGGTAACTGGAAATGTAAAAAAACAAAAAGAAATCATGAGACACTTTTTTTCGTACAGGATACATTTCTGCATCGGGTCTGGGTTAGTCTGTTAATGTTTGATAGTAACGCTGAAAAATGAATGACACGTGTTTCTTGTTTTTACAGATACAGCAACAGACAGCAAGTTTGAAAGTAATGGAATAATAACGACGACGTTCAACTCGTTCTTGACGTGTTCTCCCAGTGAAGCGTTTTCAGCCTGAGTTGAAAACGTCCGATGGACAAACCCGAGTTGTCCTTTTTCAATAAAACGGAAGCTCACTAAATGAGGAGAAACTAGGATCTACCTTCAATGAAGATATACAACATGGCATAATCTTTATTTAATTAAGCATTAACAAATGACTAATGGCTTGACATGGTTTTCTTAAGGTTCATTTGTAAACTGACTTATATTTCAGTCAATAGAGTGTCACTGACGCCAGTATGCAGGCAGGTGAACTGTTTATAATGTATGTATTTTGTATCGTATTTTTATTGTACATGACAGCAATGATAACTTGTTATAAAAAGCTATTTTTACATATATGTATATTTCTTGTTCAGTTGCAACTGTGGCTTGATTCATTTTCAGCTCAATCATTTGTAGTGTTTTTTTAAATTATACATTCGTTCTGGTCAAAAGGCTATTCACATACATTTGATTTGTTTTAGTACGTCATTATTATTTTTATTGCAGTGTACAGGCTTTGCAAAAAAACGAAATTAAACTGTTTTCAAGTGTAACATGTTAAAGTATATTACTGTTCACTGTTATACTTTTCTGACTGAGAAATAAAGAAGCATTTTGTTGTTTCATGAATCTGCACTTAGAGACTGACTACTCACTCTGCGTTGTGTTTTTTGGTTTTCACTCTTAAACCTTCAACTACAATCATTTTGTCCATCCCATTGTAAAAGGAAGAGTCAATAAAAGGGAATTGATATGGATTTATTTGTTGACAAAGTTAAAATAATTTTGACCATTTAAGAGGATGAGGTTTAAAATACCTCAATTGAAGTCTTCAAAACATTCCCCTTGTTATTAAAAAGATTACTCTTCATAGGTTAATACTGTAGTGCACTCGATGGAAGCCTTAATACCCATAAAGCCTTGCGATTACATTACAATAGAAAGTGAGTGGATGAAAAGAAGTTTGTGAAAAAATCCAAGATTGTGTTTTGCGAGTAAATAAGGTTACATGAAAAACACCATAAAACCACGATTTTTGTTTTGTGAAATTGGGTTTCATTAATGGCATGTGGCACTTTAGACAATCAGAGGTAGGAACTTTGATTTAACCAGGAGAGGGCCTCACTGAGAATAAAAACATGGGATGGGAGTGTCTTAAAAGAAAGACAGCACATGTATTCCAGAGGTTCAAACTATCTAAGATTGGAAGATCTGTTCTGATAAGACTGGCAATTAAAGGTCTATAAATAATAATAATAATAATAATAACTTTATTTATATAGCACCTTTTAAAAACAAAGGTTTACAAAGTGCTTTGACAAACAGCAAGAACAAAGCAAACTAAACACAGAAAAACATTAACAACAGTAAGAATATAACAGATGCAAAATACCAAAAATAATTAAAAACAATTCAACAGAAAAGAACCCAAAGTGCACGATACACAACCAGACATATATAACCCAACCATCATAAGAACCATCATAAGAACCCAGGAAACACAAGAACCCAACAACATGAGCTGAGACCAAGAGGACCAAAGATTTAAGAAGATGTAAGAAACTAAGAGATAAAAGCAAATAAAAAGCAATGAGAAGGTAAGCGCAGTAAAGGAAATAAAAACAAGTGGTTAAAGGATCAAAAAACCCAAAACTATAATATTAATAAAAATAAAAATTAACTATAAATACGAAACATAAATAGACAAAGTAAGTAAGATAAGAAATTACCAAGTTAAAACACAAGAGGAGATTAAAATATGAGCATAAATACGAGATAAGACCATAAATAAAAGACAGTAAGAAGTAGAAGAAGATAAAAATAGTAAAACCAGTAAGAGAAGACATTAAGAAGACGACATCACATAAAAGCAAGTCTGTAAAAGTATGTTTTAAGAAGGGATTTAAAAGAATTGAGGGAGTCTGCGAGTCTTATCTCCTCAGGGAGGTCGTTCCAAAGTCGAGGGGCCCTGACTGAAAAGGCCCGGTCACCTTTAGTTTTAAGTCTCGACTTTGGAACGACCAGGAGGCTCCCACCCGAGGATCTAAGACTGCGGGCTGGCTCATATGGTGTCAGTAACTCTGTTATATAGCTTGGAGCCAGCCCCGTCCGTGCTTTAAAAGTAATGAGTAAAATCTTAAAATCGATTCTAGAACGTACAGGAAGCCAGTGTAATGAAGCTAAAATTGGAGTGATGTGATGTCGTCTGTTACAACCAGTAAGAAGCCTAGCTGCTGCATTTTGGACCAGCTGGAGGTGAGACAGTGACTTATTTGTGATTCCGGAAAAGAGGGAGTTACAGTAGTCAAGTCGGGAGAAGATGAGGGCGTGGATGATCTTTTCAAGGTCTCGTTGGGTTAGGATTGTTTTAATTTTGGAGATGGTGCATAGATGGAAGAAGCTTGATCGGACAACTGTTTTGATATGGGATTCAAAGGTGAGATTGCAATCGAATGTTACTCCTAGATTTCTGGCGGTGGGTTGGACATTGGTGAATAAGGGACCGAGGCTGCTCTTTGAGATATGAGTGGTGTTTGGCGGGTTGAATACTATGATTTCAGATTTAGAATTGTTCAGTTGGAGAAAGTTTTGCGCCATCCAGCAGTTGATATCGCTTAGGCAGTTTCTGACAGCAGCTAGGCTCCTAGGGTCCTCAGGTCTCAAAGGAAGGTATATCTGTGTGTCGTCTGCGTAGCAGTGAAAGGAGACATTGTGGCGTTCAATTATTTGGCCAAGAGGCAGCATATAAATGGAGAATAAAATGGGACCTAAAACCGAACCTTGCGGTACGCCACAGGTAATGTTAGAGGTAGAGGAGGAGTAGTTACCGATGGTGACCGCGAAGGTTCTTTCTAAAAGATAAGAGTAAAACCAGCTAAGTGCAGTATCCTTTAAACCAACCCAATGTCTGAGACGATCAGTTAAAATTGTGTGATCAACAGTATCAAAAGCTGCGCTAAGATCTAAAAGAATTAAAATTGTGCCCTCCCCTCTGTCTGCTGCTAAAAGAAGGTCATTGGTTACCTTGAGGAGGGCAGTCTCTGTGCTGTGACAAGCTCTAAAACCGGATTGGAATTTCTCAAAGAGGTTATTTTCAGTCATAAAAGATAAAAGTTGTGTTGAAACCACCTTTTCTAAAACTTTTGATAAAAATGGAAGTTTTGAGATTGGTCTAAAATTGTTAAAATCAGTGGGATCAAGGTTGGGTTTCTTTAAAAGTGGTTGGACCACAGCATGTTTAAAAGCAGAGGGGACTACACCTTCCGCCAAGGAACTATTAATAATGGATAAAATACTGGGTCCAACTGTGTTAAAAACCTCTTTGAGAAATGTTGTGGGAATAAAATCAAGGCTGCACGTAGCTGATTTCATATGGGTTAAAATTTCAGCTAAAAAGGTCAAGGACACTGGCTCAAAACTGCTAAAATAACTGTTAAGTTCCCTGCTGGTGTCTAAAATACGGTCTGGGGGGATGATTTGTTGCCTAATGTCCTTGACCTTATTAGTAAAATAAGTTAAAAACTTCTCACATAGATCCTGAGAAGGATCAGTAAAATAAGAAGGGGAGGGGGTGGTGATTGATTCTAAAACCTTAAATAAAATTCTGGGGTTAGAATGATTGGCTAAAATCAGATTAGAATAAAATGCTGCTCTTGCGCCTTTAACTTCCTTTTGGTATTGTATCATTGAATCTCTCCATATTTCATAAAATACATGCAAGCCTGTTTTTTCCATTTTCGTTCTTTCCTTCTGCAGTCTCTTTTTAGATCCTGAGTCAGTTCGTTTAGCCATGGCTGTGGGACTCTGTTAGGTTTTTTGTCTTTATAGGGAGCAACAGAGTCCAGCACAGTTTGACAGGTGAGATTAAAAGAGGAGACCAGCTCCTCTGTGTTAAAATGTTGGTAAAAGGCAGTTGAAGAGACAGAAATAAAAAGCTCCTTAAACTTGCTAGCAGACGTAGAGTTAAAAACCCTGCTGCGGACAGGTGCCTTGCTAATAAAAGGTGGCTGAGATAAAACCATTCTGAATAAAACCAGTTTGTGGTCTGACACACAGATATCCTTTGTCTCAAATTTGTTAGGGCTGAGACCACTGTATAAAACAAGATCAAGTGTGTGGCCCTTAGAGTGAGTGGGTTCCTGTATTGCCTGAGTAAGGTTAAAAGATTCTAGAATATCCATAAAATCACCCGCGAGGGACTGAGAATACAACAATAGTAAATAGATGGAGAGAAAAAATATCTAGCAGCTTCAAATTCTTAAAAAAACTCAAAATATGTAAGGTACTGAGTGTGAATTAAATAAAACATGGAATAAATTTGATGCAGTATTCATGAATATTGCCTGTTTGGTTTTAGATGGGGAAAGTTAAATGATCTGTACTTGAATAAACTAAAAACACTATGAATTTGTACCAGAAAAGGACATCACATGGCCTAGTGATTCTCAAGTTGTATATTGTTGATGAAAAGGCAGGCTCTAAAAAAAAAAAAAAAAAAAAGTGATACAGGGTGTGGAATAAATATGAATATTGAAACATATTAAGCCAATAACACTTTATCAGAAAATAGACGAACCTCATTTAGTGCATTGGATACATAAATAGATGATACTTTACATTAATTCACTTTCACAGGGTATTGCAGGGGTTTCATGTATCTCTAGTCCACGTCTTTATTGGATAGCAAATCGAAAATCTTAGAAATACAAAAAAAATAATCAAAATACCTGCCTACTGAATAACATAAATAAAGGAAAGGAAAATGCATCCAGGTCCCTGTCGTTTCTAAATAAATGAAGGTCAAAGTTTTGGAAAAGAAAAGGGTTGGCGATGTGTTCACCGGATGTGCATCGATTAATCCAAACTGTGCATCGATTAATCCAAACTGCTCGTCATTTGTTCTGAATACGTGTTCCTCTCTGCGACTGTCCGCCACTAGTTTAGTTGTGAACCTACGCTTTTGTCGAGACTTTTTGTGAAACACCGGTGAAACAGATCAGTTTATATGAAAGCCCATTTCCGCCAGCAAAAAATAAAATAAAAATGAAAATAATAAAGTCTCATAATTTCAAACTTTTTATCTCACTATTTTGACTTATCTCATTATTATGACTTTATATCTCATAATTTCGACTTTTTATCTCATAATTCTGACTTTTTTTAATCTCATTATTATGACTTTATTTAATTTATTTTTTTATTTTTTTAACTGGCGGAAATGGGCTTCCATAAGTTTAGCTGCATTCGCCTGTGTAAATAAAAAAACAGGCAAAAACTTAAGACGACTATGAGGAAACTGCGCATCGTCAGCCGTCGATGAACCGCTCGAACACAAGCAGAGCTCGTCAGGTCAGTCGCTGACTTGTGCGCATGTGCGGACTAGATTTCGGGGATGGGTCTATCGATGGACTCAAGATGGCGACTCTGGCGAAAAGCGCCAATATATTTAGTGTACTAGATGCCCGAAATTAACCCTCGGTAACCGGGTTTACTCACACCCCTCGGAGGGGTTCCGTGAAACATGAAGCCCGGGAGCATGTTTGGGAAGAGGAACTGACCGGAATAATACCGTAAACAAAGTCAGCGAGATGTGCGAGAGCTATGCCCGCTCGCTGCTGCGTGTGTCGGTGGCGCAGATCTGCCAGGCT